AGCTTTAATTAAGCCACACGAGAGACATATGAATAACACGAATATATGACACATTTAAAGTTCGACTAACAATACAAAATTTCCATGACAATGGGACAGTTCAAACAAGGGTAGTCTGAGCTCACAATAGGGGCAGTTCATGACAAGGGTAGTCTGAACACACAATAGGGGCAGTCCAGGGCACTCCGCAACATGCGGCTTGTAGGGACATACAGTAGGCGGCTTGCAGACACTCACGGTAGGCGGCTTGTAGGGACACTCAGCAACGGACAGCTTCCAGGGACACTCAGCAATGGACAGCGGCACTCACAGCGGTCAGCTTTCCAGGGACAAAGCGAACAGCAGCCAGGGGCCCTCACAGCAGTCAGCTTCCCAGGGACAGCAGTGATTAGCAGGCAGGGGCCCCCACAGCGGCCAGCCTTCCAGGGACAGCAGCAATCAGTAGGCAAGGGCCCTCACAGCGGCCAGCTTTCCAGAGACAGCAGCAATCAGCAGGCAGGGGCCCTCACAGCGGTCAGCCTTCCAGGGACAGCAGCGGTCAGCAGGCAGAGGCCCTCCCAGCAGTCAGCTTTCCAGGGACACTCACAGCCCTGGAGTATTGGCAGAGTGGCACCGGGTAATGGTTCTGACCTTTGGGGGGGTCTCCTGCAGAGTGCTCAGCGGGGATGGCTGCGGAGGCCCGATCCCCCCAACCAGACCTCCCAGCGGCTTGCGAGTCCAGCAGCGGTGGGAAGCAGGTGCACACGAGGAAGAGGCCGGCCTTTTAAAGCTGCGAAGGACGCTTCCCGGTTGCCCCGGCAACAGCTGGCCCTGCGCCGCATCGCCGGGCAATGAGGCACGCCCCCTTGACATGGGTCGCGCTCTCGAGAGCGTGGTCTTTGTCTGTTGGTGAGTGCAGGCGCAGGAAGCTCTTGTGCCCGCATTGTACTCATCAGGGCCGTGCAGCGTCAGGTTGACTGCCACGGCCCGGACATCTCGTGGGGGGGGGGGGCGCCCCTTCCTTGGCTGAGTGGCCGGGGAGGTGTGAATTTCCCAGCGGGAGGCTATCTCTCCCCCTCCAGCTGGGAGAGATAGGGGATGGAGCATGACGAGAGTCACACCTCTCATCCTGGGTGGCTCAGCTTCAAAGAGCCGTGACAGGATGAGAGGGGGGAGAGGTAGGGGAAGCTGCAGTGAGGGAGAGGAGCAGGTCTGGCACACCGTGACAGTATCAGTTGGTTGGAAAAAAACAAAACATTTCTGGTGTAGGTGGAATAAAGTAAACCCAGTTTTTGCTGTCAGTGGGGTAAAAAGTCCCATCATTGGTGTCAGTGAGATATGATAAGTCCCATTGGTGTCGGTGGAATAAACTAAGCCTCATTGTTGGTGTAAGTCCAAAATACGAGACATTTCTCGGGGCTGCAGTTCCTCAGAGCTCCACGAAGATCTCACTTCTACCCAGAAAGGAAGTCTCTATGGAAGACAGGAGTGTGATGTAAGATATAGAGAGGAAGTGATGTCTGGGACAGACAGGAAGTGATGGAAGGTACAGATAGGAAGTGATGTCAGGTAGAGACAGGAAGTGATAGAAGGTACAGACAGGAAGTGATCTCTGGTAGAGACAGGAAGTGATAGAAGGTACAGAGAGGAAGTGATAGAAGGTACAGACAGGAAGTGATAGAAGGTACAGACAGGAAGTGATGTCAGGTATAAGTAGGAAGCTGTGGGTGAGAGGTGAGTCGGGGAGGAAGTAGAGAGGAGACATTGCTGGAAGTGGCAGCAGAGGAGGTAATGGTTGTTTTGCTTCTTTCTTCCCAATTAAAGATCACAAAGAAATCTATAAATCTGCTATGAAATAAAACTCCCAATGTCATTTAAAAAAAAAATTATAATTCATTAATATAGAGGGAGAAGTTGGGGAGGTGATTGGTGGGAAAGGTGACACATCTCCAACATGAAGAGAATGTTCCGGCCCGTAAGTGGGGGAATGTTTTGCCCCTGAAGGGGTTAAACCTTTCGTGGTTGGAGATCATCATCCAAGTTCAGGAGATGCCATGTGACCATGAGTTGGGCAACTTGACAAAAACTTGATGATTTATTCACATATTTTATATCTTTTAATTAGGACTTTTTAAGGGTATAAAACATTTTTATTTTGTGCATGAAAAAATGCTGTTTTTTTTTTTTTTTTTTAATTATAGGCTGGCCAATAAACAAAAAATTGGAAAAAACAGCAACCAGAGGTCCTAGAAGTCACCAGAGAGATCATCGAGCTGCTGACCAGAGAGGTGAGCGGTGCCGGGAATTCTGGGACATTCTCCAGTAACAGACAAGGGATGTGTCTGGATGGTGACTGTATCATTGTGTGTGTCAGGTTCCTATAAGGTGTCAGGGTGTCACTGTCTATTTCTCCATGGAGGAGTGGGAGTATTTAGAAGGACACAAGGACCTCTACAAGGACGTCATGATGGACAATCAGCCGCCCCTCACATCACCGGGTAAGAGGAGACTTTATTGTAAAGGAGAGAGCAGTACGGAGGGTCCACCTAGATCCCCCATCATCTGATAAACACATAGAAACAATGGATTCAGTCAGTGTGTGTGTTTCCGACAGATGGATCCAGTTATGGGAACCAACCAGAGAGATGTCCCCGTCCTCTGTATTCCCGGGATTCCACACAGGAAGGTCACACCATCCCTCACCATCATCAGGTAGATGAGGAACAATCACTGATAGTATCATTAGGATCTGTACATTATCTGCATTGTTACCATTGATGTCATTTTTATTATATATTCAGAGTGTAAACCTGAGAGATTCTACAGTTGAAGTCAAAGAAGAGATAAAAGAGGAGTATGAGGTGATGGAGGAGTTTCGCAAAGATCTGTACCAGGACACCATGGTGGAGTCATCCAGCTCCAGGAACCCACCAGAGAGATGTCCCCGTCCTCTGTATTCCCGGGATTCCACACAGGAAGATCACACCATCCCTCACCATCATCAGGTAGATGGGTGACAATTATTGGTAGTTCTGATTTATACACAGCATGTTTGTTACAATTAATGTTTTATTATATATTCAGACTGGAATCCTCGGGGATTATAATATTGTTGTAAAGGAAGATTATAAAGAGGAGGATGAGGAGTATGGAGTGATGGAGGAGCTTTCAGAAGAACACAAGGATATGATGGAGCCACCTAATACCAGGAACCCACCAGAGAGATGTCCCCGTCCTCTGTATTCCCGGGATTCCACACAGGAAGGTCACACCATCCCTCACCATCATCAGGTAGATGATCAAGAATTAATAATGATTATGATTTATACACAAAGATGTTTGTTACAATGAAGGTCTTATTATATATTTAGAGTGCAAATCTCGGGGATTATAATATTGTTGTTAAAGAGGAGGATGAGGAGTATGGTGAGCTGGAGGAACTTTCTGGAGGACACAAGAACATGTTGGAGCCACCTAATACCAGGAACCCCCCAGAGAAATGTCCCCGTCCTCTGTATTGCCGGGATTCCACACAGGAAGGTCACACCATCCCTCACCATCATCAGGTTGGTGGAGTTGAGGGTCGGGAACATAAAGTGATGGAACACTCTGACATGTGGAGACGATGTGTGGACTCTACAAGATGAGATGTTCTATGTGATCTCACATCATAAATCCTTCTATGTTACAGATGTTATTTTCTGCCATTCTGTTGGTTTAGGGTGAAGATCTGATGAACATGAAAGTTGAGGGTGAAGTAGAAGAGACGTATGTGAGGGATGATCAGCAATATACAGAGGAGGCTGGAATGAGGAGGACATTCATAGAGGAGGACACTCCTACAGAGATCAGCACAGGTGACCAGAATATATTCTTCTCTTATCTCTGCTCTGTTACCGCCCCCCAGCCCCCCATTGGTTCCTGCTCCTCTGACAAGGAGGTGTAAATGTAGAAGTGATCTGGGAGGACCAAAGGCCCTTTGAAGAGGGGAGGAGTCCCAGCTGGTTGGGACATCCACAGAGAACATCTGCTCCTCCTATCTCCCTGATCCAGATGGAATCTTGATGGAAGTGAACTAACCCTCTCCTATCTATTGATGATGTTTTTCTATTTTTTTCCAGGACCCGCCATGGAGAAACCCTCAAAGGATCGTCTCACTTTATCTCCAGGTTGTAAAATGGAAGATGAGGACATCCCAGGAGATTGTGTCGGAGAAAAGACAATGAGCTCCACTATAGATGGTGGACTTCCCAGTGTGGAGAGACCATGGGATCCCTCTGAGCAACCTCGTACTGTGGGGGATGGGGCCGGGGTTCAGGGGGAGGAGACACTTACCTGTCCTGAGTGCGGGAAAAGTTTTAGCTCTGAATTAGGTCTTTCTGCACATCAGAAGTCCCACACGGGTCAGAAGCTACATTCCTGTTCTGAGTGCGGGAAATGTTTTCTTTATAAATCATTTCTGATCAGACATCAGAGCACTCACACAGGTGAGGAGCTACTATCCTGCCCTGACTGCGGGGAATTATTTCTACGTAAATATCATCTTAGTGTGCACCAGAGATCGCACACGGGTGAGAAGCTTCATTCCTGTCCTGAGTGCGGGAAATGTTTTCTTTATAAATCAACTCTGGTCAGACATCAGACAACTCACACGGAGGAGAAGCTGTTTTCCTGTCTTGAGTGCGGGAAATGTTTTTCACAGAAAGCCCATCTTTCTGCACATCAGAAATACCACAGGAGTGAAAAACCGTATTCCTGTTCTCAGTGTGGGAAACGTTTCACACAGAAATCACTACTTGCCAGACATGAGAGATTTCACACAGAAGAGAGGAAATATTCCTGCTCTGAATGTGGGAAACGGTTTCTGTGGAAATCTGAGCTCACCGTACATCTGAGGTCTCACACAGGGGAGAAGCCACATTCTTGCCCTGAGTGTGGGAAATGTTATCGATTGAAAGCCAACCTAGTCATCCATCGGCGATCTCACACCGGGGAGAAGAAGCCGTATTCTTGCCCCGAGTGCGGGAAATGTTTTTCCAATAGATCCATCCTCAACGTACATCTGATATGCCACACGGGCGAGAAGCCGTATTCCTGCCCCGAGTGCTGGCAATGTTTCCCACGGAAATCAGAACTAGTCATACATCAGCGGTCCCACACAGCTGAGAAACCATATTCCTGCCCTGAGTGCGGGAAATCTTACAAACGGAAGTCGGTTCTTGTCGAACATCAGAGATCTCACACGGGGGAGAAGCCGTTTTGCTGCTCCGAGTGTGGGAAATGCTACCAACAGCGTTCACAACTTGTCATACATCAAAGGTCTCACACGGGGGAGACGCCGTACTCCTGCCCAGAGTGCGGGAAACGTTATCAGCGGAAGTTTCAGCTCATCACCCATCAAAGATCTCACACAGGGGAGCAGCACCCGTATTCTTGTCTCGAGTGCGGGAAATGTTTTTCGCAGAAATCCAATCTTTCCAGGCATGAGAGGTCCCACACGAACCTCAAGGCGCAGTAACGTTAGTGCGGGAAATGTTTTCTTTATGATTGATATTTTTCCGCACATTAGAGATCACACCTCCATTTTTTTGTTTTTAATTCGCCGAGTCTCTCAGAGGAAGGGTAGCAAAGAGCCCAGTCCTGTCATATATGGAACAACGTTTTTGTAACACCACTTAAGTGTTTCTGAAGAACCGAAAAAGTTCAGATTTCCCGTTTTGCAACCCAACTGGGGATACTTTTTTATGTGCTTTTTGCTGGATCCCTATAGGTAGGGATCTTCCTATGCACTGCTATGACCTCCCATCACCATCACTTCTATTGGCCTCTGTTAATGTCTGACTCCTCCCCATCTATTTTAACCCCTCCCCTTCCAGAGGATTCCCCCCCTCTCCCCCTCCAGAGGATTCCCACCCCCCTTACTGACCAGGCCATTTTTTTGCGTTACGGCGCTGCGTTACTGCCAATTGCGCGATCATGGAACACCGCACCCAGGTGAAATTGATGTCCTTTTTTTCCCCACGAATAGAGCTTTATTTCGGTGCTATTTGATCGCCGTGCGATTTTTTTTTTTTTTTTTTTTTTTTTTTTTCTTTTTGCACTATAAAAAAAAAGACCGATAATTTTGAGAAAAAAAACTATTTTTGACTTCACTATTAAACACGTCCAGTAAAAAAAGTGTAAAAAATCAAGTTTCGTCATAAATTTCGGCCAAAATGTATTCTGCTCCGTGTCTTTGCTAAAGTAAAAAAAAATCCCAATATGTTTAAATTAATTGGTTTATGTGAAAGTTATGACGGTATAGATACTGGGATTTTTAAAATTTTCTGCATTACAAAAAAAAATAAAATTTTCGCTATTAAACTTGTCCAGTAGCAAGAAAAATTAAAAATCAAATTTCCTCATAAATTTCGGCCAAAATGTATTCTGCTCCGTGTCTTCGCTAAAATAAAAAAAAAAATCCAGATACGTGGAAATTAATTGGTTTACGTGAAAGGTATAGCGTCTGGAAATGGTGGTATAGACACTGAGATTTTTTTTTTTACATTTTTTCTAGGAATGGCGTCGATCAGCGACTTATAGCTGGACTGCGGGTGGGCATTCCGACACTTGGGGGAACTGACTTGGTGACATCCCCAGTGACACCAATACAGTCATCAGTGCTAATAAAAAAAGTACTGACACTGTACTGATAGCACTGGGCAGGAAGGGGTTAACATGAGGGGCCATCAAAGGGTTACTTGTGTGCTGGGAGTGTTTTACTAGGGGGCAGGGTCTATTACTAGGGGGCGGGGTGTGTGTACTTCACCTAATCATACTGCTCTGGATGGCTGTGCGTGCAGTGTGCCCGAGCCAACAGGGAGGAGGACAGTTAGTAAACATCCCCAGTGACACCAATACAGTGATCAGTGCTAATAAAAAGCCCTGACACTGTACTAATGGCGCTGGGCAGGAAGGGGTTAACATGAGGGGTGATCAAAGGGTTAACAGTGTGCTGTTTCACTAGGGGCTGTGTCTCTTTCACTGTACGCATGCTGCTATGCAGAGCCATCCAAAGCAGTGTGCCTGAGCCGACAGGGAGGAGAACTGTATTGTATGCAAACAGTCCTCCTCCCCTTCGGAGATGCTCGGCAATCACCGGGCGCCAGCGAGTATTCAACAGCCGGGACCCGGTGATTGACAGCCGAGGCCACGAATGGAGAGGCGGGTAGGGCACGTGCATGCCCCCTACCCGGAACTGCAAAATCACGTCTATATACGTGATTTTGTGCACCCGTGCCGCCCTGTAGCAGTACTTCTATAGGGCGGACGGGAAGCGATTAATAATCCCCATTCCCCTCGAATCCATTTCAATTGCTCATTCGACTATTCCAATCCCCCTCCCCCCAACTTTTTTTTCTGTTTTTGAACCTATAAAATGCGTTGGGTTGAGTGTACACGATGTGTAAGTTCCAAAATGATGCGGGTTGGCGTTAACGTTGTGTAATGCACGCAATAAAGATATCTGAATACAAAAGAGTCTGAGGTTTCTTATTGAACCCCCATAGATGGGCATCACGAGTGCAGAACCCAATGATCAGCACTGGTGGGGTTGGCACTGTTCTCTCTTTTGTAGCATCCTCCTGGTCAGGTTTTTGCTCGGTTTAGGTCGATTTTAGTTTTTGGCTCCTTTGTAGCCAGTGAGGCAGGTGGATTGCTTCTGGCTGTTCTGGGACTCCAATGTTGCAGGGTTTGATTGCTCCTCCCTGCCTTCTGGAAGCCCCTGGGCAGTTCCGGCACATAGGTGTGGAGCAGGTGGGTGGGCAGTGTCTAACCAGCCACTTTATTAGGTCCACCGGTTCAATGGCTTGGTAATACAAATTGCTAATCAGCCAATCGCATGGCAGTAACTCAATGCATTTAGGCATCTAGACATCGTGAAGACGACTTGGTGAAGTTCAAACCGAGCATCAGAATGGGGAAGAAAGGGGATTTACAGTGAAGGAAATGTGTATTTGCTCCCCTGCTGATGTTGAATGTTCGCCCACTCACAAAGAAATGATCGGTCTAAAAATCGAACGTTCGGTGTATTGTAACACTGAGAGACAGAATAGCAACAACAAATTCAGCAGAAATGCATGTCTAACAAATGATGACTGATCTGCATGTTCATGAGGGAAATAAGGATTTGATCCCCTATCATTCAGCAGGATTTCTGGCTACCAGGTGTCTTTCATACAGGTAACAAGCTGAGATTAGAAGCAGTCTCTTAAAGGGAGTGCTGCTAATCTCATTTTGTTACCTGTATAAAAAAAACCTGTCCACAGGAGCAATCAAACAATCAGATTCCAAACTCTCCACCATGGCAAAGACAAAAGAGCTGTCCAAGGATGTCAGGGACAAGATTGTAGACCTACACAAGGCTGGACTGGGCTACCAAACTATTGCCAAGCAGCTTGGTGAGAAGGTGACAACAGTTGGTGCAATCATTCACAAATGGAAGAAACACAAAACAAGTGTCAGTCTCCCTAGGTCTGGTGCACCATGCAAGATCTCACCTCGTGGAGTGTCAATGATCATGAGAACAGTGAGGAATCATCCCAGAACTACACGTGAGGATCTTGTCAATGATCTCCAGGCAGCTGGGACCACAGTCACCAAGAAAACAATTGGTAACACACTACGCCGACAAGAACTGAAATCCTGCAGTGCCCACAAGGTCCCTCTGCTCAAGAAAGCACATGTCCAGGCCCGGCTGAAGTTTGCCACTGAACATCTAAATGATGCAGAGGAGGATTGGTTGGAAGTGTTGTAGTCAGAGGAGACCAAAATCCAGCTCTTTGGCATCAACTCGCTGTGTTTGGAGGAGGAGGAATGCTGCCTATGACCCCAAGAACACCATCCCAACTGTGAAACTTGGTGGTGGAAACATTCTGCTTTGGGGGTGTTTTTCTGCTAATGGGACAGGACAACTGCACTGCATCAAAGGGATGATGGACGGGGCAATGTACCATCAAATCTTGGGTGAGAACCTTCTTCCCTCAGCCAGGGCATTGAAAATGGGTCGTGGATGGGTGTTCCAGCATGACAATGACCCAAAACACACGGCCAAGGCAACAAAGGAGCGGCTCAAAAAGAAGCACATTAAGGTCCTGGAGTGGCCTAGCCAGTCTCCAGACCTTCATCCAATTGAAAATCTGTAGAGGGAGCTGAAAGTTCGAGTTGCCAAACGTCAGCCACCAAACCTTAATGACTTGGAGAGGATCTGCCAAGAGGAGTGAGCCAAAATCCCTCCTGAGATGTGTGCGAACCTGGGGGCCAACTCCAGGAAATGTCTGACCTCTGTGATTGCCAACAAGGGATTTGCCACCAAGTACTAAGTCATGTTTTGCGAAGGGGATCAAATCCTTATTTCCCTCATGAACATGCAGATCAGTCATCATTTGTTAGACATGCATTTCTGCTGAATTTGTTGTTGCTATTCTGTCTCTCAGTGTTACAATACACCGAACATTTGATTTTTTTTAGACCGATCATTTCTATGTGAGTGGGCGAACATTCAACATCAGCAGGGGAGCAAATACGCATTTCCTTCACTGTAAGTGACTTTGAACGTGGCATGGCTGTTGATGCCAGGCAGGCTGGTCTGAGTATTTCAAAAACTGCTGATCTCCTGGGATTTTCCCGCACATCCATCTCTGGGGTTTACAGAGAATGGTCTGAAAAATAGAAAACAGAAAAGTGTGGGATCCTCCTGAAGTGTGATGTCCACATCCTCTTTTAACCACTTCAACACTGAGCACTCCCCTCCCCCTTCCTGCCCAGGCCAGTTTTCAGCACTGTGGCACTTTGAAATACAATTGTGCGGTCATGCGACTATACTAAATTTGTATATTCCCATTCACATGACCACATCAATGAGGAGGACCGGAGTCACATGATTGAGAAGATACTAAACCTCACCCTGGAGATCATCTACCTGCTGACCGGAGAGGTGAGGAGGATTCTGGGAGGTCACATGACGTCACTCTCATCTCTATTAATAAAACACAGCCCTGACCGGAGAGGTGAGGAGGATTCTGGGAGTCTAACATGATGTTCCTATTGGTTCCCCAATACAGAGATTTCCTCTTCTGAAGTCAGGTGATCATATGACCATTACAGTGCCTCCATGTGACTCCCTAAACCCTGAGAGACACAACATGCAGAAGATTCTAGAAGTCACCAAGAAGATGATGGAGCTGCTGACAGGAGAGGTGAGCGGTGCCGGGAATTCTGGGATATTCTCCAGTAACAGACAAGGGATGTGTCTGGATGGTGACTGTATCATTGTGTGTGTCAGGTTCCTATAAGGTGTCAGGATGTCACTGTCTATTTCTCCATGGAGGAGTGGGAGTATTTAGAAGGACACAAGGACCTCTACAAGGACGTCATGATGGACAATCAGCCGCCCCTCACATCACCGGGTAAGAGGAGACTTTATTGGAAAGGAGAGAGCAGTACGGAGGGTCCACCTAGATCCCCCATCATCTGATGAAC